TCCTCAGACCCTCTCAATCTGAGTCTCTAGCTGGCGACTAACCTACACCAGAGTAAACAGATTGAGGCCCTAAGAACGAAACCTCCACTACCGGAGTAAAACCGGTACAGAATAGTGAGTTGGTTCCTCGACTAAAGTCACCAACTCCCTACCTTCAATCAAGGATACTCTATTAACCTAGGCAGATATTATCATTCTAGGTTAAAGCAGAAACAACAGGAATTTGATCAGGATTCAAGTCATTCAATCATTCAAACCTCAATCGAATATAATCAATCACAGAATCAATACTTGGGTTCATACAATCAAACCTAACATACAGAACTAGGGTTTCCCATACCCAGATGAATGGGGAAACTACTCCATAGAGAAAGAAGCAAAAGCAGATTCAGACACGGAAATCATACTGTGAAGTTGGATTCCTGCTTCTGGACGTTTAATCGCACTTCTCCAAGCTCAAGACGGGTTCCAATGGTGTTGAAGATCGATCTATGGCGCTTGAGAACTCTGGTTCGACGCTTTCTCTCTCTAGGTATCGGTTTCTCTCTCAAAAACTCGGAACCCCTTGAAAATTGGCCTTCTTCCTCTTTTATCAGCTGCCTGGTCGCGATACCCGGTCAAAATACCCGGTCGGGTATTTTATGGTTCGACCGGGTATTGCGAAACGCACCGTTCCATTAAAGGGGAAAATCCCCGGTCCACCACCAAAATCCCCGACCGGGGATTTATCGCCATCGCCCGGGCCCCCTTCTGCTTCTCACGGGTGCCCGAAGGAGGAAATACCCGGTCGAGGCCAGAATATACCCGGTCGGGTATTTCTTCCTTTGACCGGGTATTTTGGTCCAGCAGCATCCTTTGTCCAATCTTCGCTCCTTTCGATCCAGAACTCGTTCCTTCGCCTCGATTCCAACGCCAGGACCTGAAATATGACACAAACACACAACCTGGCGTAAAATCGGCTTAAAACACGAGATTCCTCAGCACAAACGGCTCCAGAATAGGGGTGAAAATATGTATAATTATCGATCTATCAAGTCTTCTACTGCAAATTATACGCAAAACGTTATTTTTCTAATGATGGCGTGATTGAGGTCTTCAAATCGTAAAGAAAAGCTCAGCGAAGGAGGGGAAGCTTACCACGACAATCAATCAAGTATTTAGGGACTTCTCTTTCAATCGATGAGAAGAACGGAGAAGAGGTTTTGTGAAGGGCAATGCAGTCAAAAGTGTCATTCTACCTAGAAGTGGAAAAGGGATAAAATCGTAAAGTTTAGAATCGAAACATAAAAAGGTAAATTTTTTATGCATCATATAAAGTAGTTAAAAATCTGTCAAGTATGAAATGTGACATGTAAAAATCTGTTAAATACTTGCAACTTCGAAATGACTAACTATTAACAAAACACAACTTCATTCTCACTGTTAAGCAACTCAATCTAAATCCTTTTCCAGGTTCACCTCTGGCAAAGGAAGACCACAAGAATACCAAAATCTATAAGTGAAATGCAATTTGCAGGTGTCATCTAACTTGTTTGTCTGTATTTGAACTAAATGAAGTAAAGCTCTAACAGGATCCCAAAACGTTCAAGTTTCAGAGGTAGGTGAAGAAGACAAAAAGCTGTAGCGAGCTTATCTATGTATGATTCAGCCCCTCAATCCCCATGATTTCACAATATGACATCTCGTCCCTGTGAAAACTCAAACAAAGAAACAACAGATTCAGTCTTAGAAAGGATTGAGCGATGGAACTGAAACTGTATCAAATCTTCTCTTGACATCGGCATACAAATACTAGATGCTCAATCGTTAATAAAAATTGAAATAAGAAGACAAAGTAAAGTACATGAAATGGCGGTTCGTATATTACGCAAAGAATATAATTGTTGCTAAAAGCAAAGAATCCAACAGCAACCCATTCCCATTGTCACTTCTCTCTCGCTCTCTCTGTATTCTTGTTATACCATTCGGGAACCAAAAAAAAAAATGGCGAGACGCAAGAATACCTTAGGTGAACCTCGAGATGGCAAAGGAAACAGAAGTGGAGGTAGCGTCGACAAAAGTTGGTTGGAGACTCAGAGCTAGAGTTGCAACGGTGGAGTGAGGGAGGCAGTGCCAGGTAGGAGGATTTGGGAAGGCTCATCGGAGATGGAAGGCTGGCCGGAGCCGGTAAGGATGAAGGCCTCACGTCGGCACTGGTGGCGATGGTGGCACTTGAAGCCGCGAGGGAGGCGATTTCACCCCTGCTCGAGTGATTAGGGATTTGGATTAGGAGGGGATCGGCTGTCGACTGCCCGACATCACCCCTTTTAAAACAATTTTTTTAAAATATCAAAACGGTGTCATTTTAGTCAAATTGGAACTTTTCTGGTCATGGTTTGGAATAGGGCTGGCTATTTGGACCGGGACCGGATAAAAAACCGGAAACCGGACCGTATAACCCGGACCGAGACCGGACCGGGACCGGATAGTAAACAATCCAATCCAATTTTTGGGCTTAGATTTGAGGTAAAAAACCGGATAAAGACCGGATAAGAGAGCTCAACACCCAAAACTTAAGGGTAATTTGCATAAACGGTCACAAACCTTTGCACTTAGTACAAAACTTAACCAACTCCTCACCCTTTTAGGCCTTAGAACACTCAAATTCCCACAATCTCAATATAAAATCAAGACCGAATTGGGACCGGACCGGGTCAAGACCGGACCGGATCAAGACCGGACCGGATCAAGACCGGACTGTATCCAATCCAATCTTCGGTCCTTATATTTTCAAAAAAACCGGACTGGACCGGATCAATTTGGGCCAATTTAACCGGACCGGACCGTATAGCCACCCCTAGTTTGGAATATCACAAAATTGCTACAAAAACGAGTTTTGGTCTGTTTTTACCGTTTTTATCGATTCTTCTAGCGCTTTTACCGATTTTGTGTACAAAACAATTCTAAGTGGAAACTCAATCGTTTTAGTGACCTGGATACGTAAAAACGTACGCTTTAACGACCTATAGCGCGATTTTGATTGCACTAGTGAAGGGATTCTCCAAGTGTCGGCGGGACACGTTCGATGAGGGAAATCGTCGTCGTCACAATGGCGCCGAGAAATGATGGAGATTTAGCGGGAAGGTCGAAAATTTTGAAATTGTGGAGCCAAATATTTGACAAGCCAAATTTCTATGCATGAATTTTGTAGGAATAATATGACAAACGATATTATGACGACATAATTTGTCACATTACTCACTTTAAATGACGAACTATTTTGACAAAATGAAATTTGTCACTGTTGAGTCTCTTACATCCCGATATGGGACGCCTATTTTGACAAAATTAATTGTGACACGAAATATTTGTCACATTACTCACTTCAACTGACGAATTATTCTGACAACATTTTTTTTTGTCACATTAGGCATATTAAATAGGACATATATTATTTTTGTCATATCACCATGCCTATTGTGACGAACAAAAAATGACGAAATAAAATGTTTGTCCTAATAGGCCGAATTTGTTGTAGTGGGATTACATGATGTTCTTGCATGTTGAAGTGGTTAGGTTTCACTCGTGCTATTGTTGACCTTGTTAGTTCACTTATGATCCACTACCTAAGAGCTAAGACCAAGATTGAGTGATTGTTTCTAGTGGTTATTGAGTTGTATGATTGTGAGTAGTGTTTGCTTGAGGTATTTTAGATAACACTCAATTTATAGCATTTATAACTTCCATATTTGATATATTTTCCTCTTCTATCACTTCATTTAGAGATTTTTACTTTATTTCATATGAAATTCATTACTATTTGATGTATGAGCTTATGAAGGACATTGAGTTTATTTTTGTACTATATTATGCTTATTGGTGTTGATTTTGTGCTTTTCAACTATATAATGCATTCAATATGTAGGAGAGGGTGTTTGTTCGTCGCCCTAAAATACCTTATTCGTCGCCCTAATTTTTATTAAAATGACTCAAATGTCCTTAACTTAATTCTTTTCTTTCATACCCGCCATTGCTTTTCTTTCATACCCGCCGCTGGAAGTGCCGGAGATGGGTTTTCAACCATCCGGCGCCTGGAAACACCGTCCCAATCTCGCCGGAGATGAGTTTTCAACTCGTCCCCATAGCAGGTTTATTATCCCCTCCTGCACTTTATTCACATCGACAAGGTTCTTGTCCCCGCAAATCTCTCCCACCAACCAATTTAAATTGTTTTCTTATTCCTCGGCCACTATTTTCACTATCCAATTCCAATCTCGATACTCCCAGCTCCCCAAACACGATAGCTCTACCATCATCCCAACCACCGCAGAACAGAGGAGTTAGGCATTGACCTACTTCGTCTTCTTCCTCCTCCGGCTTGGGATCGACTCCGGCAGTAGAAGCAGAGCACCAACGGTGGTCAGGTTGAGGTGGGCAGCTGCCGGGAGAAGAATCCCAGAGACACCAGCGTCCTGGTTGAGGTATGCGGCGGTGGGCATGGTAAGGAATTTAGGGATTTGGTTAGAAATTGGGGCCAGGGATAAGATTGTAAATTTGGTGTATTTTAGAGCTATAAAATTTGAATATTAGGGCGACAAATAGCGATTCAGTTCTATAAAATAATAAGTATAGAATTATACGTTATGTAAAACAAGCTTATGCAATGTATCCACTCCCCTACTCCACTGACAAAATACTAGCATGGAGTGAAAAGCCCAAATAATGGTGACAAAATTTGAGCTGGCCACATCGATACCATTTTCCCATTCTCCTAAGTTGATCGTTGTTTTGTCATTCATCAAATTCATAGATAATTTCGTAACCTATCCTAAGCGCCCACCCGGCACGGCGATCGTGGCGTTCTATATAGTTTGATTCCCCACGGAACCAAACCCACCACTATAAAAACCGAGACATCAAATCCCCCAGAGAATCACAACCCAAAATTACAATAATCCATCCCTTCCACATTACTATTCTACTGATATAAACATTGTTCATATCAAATGGCGGTAATAATAATGAACAAATGCGCCAAGCCCGGTCTAGCTGCGGCGGCGGCGGCGTTGTTGTTGGTGGTGATGGCAACCCTACTCGTGGCGGCCAAAGCGGAATGCGGCGTCGACGTCGGAAACGTGGTGAGTAGCTGCGGGCAATTCGTGAGCAAAGGCGGGCCGAAGACGCCTCCTTCCCCACAGTGTTGCAAAGCCCTAAACGGCGCCGACGTCCCTTGCGCCTGTAAGAACCTCTTGACTCCAAGCATTCAAGGTTTGATCGACATGAACAAAGCCGTCTTCGTCGGCAGGTCCTGCGGCCTCTCTATTCCCGCCGGCATGAAGTGCGGCAGTAAGTAACTAATTATATATCATTCTCGACCGTATTAATTTCGATTTAAGAAAGAAAAAAAACATGGGTTGTTATGTTTAGTTCTCGTTATAAGTTATGTTTACTTTGTTCTTTTTCTGGTCTTGTTCTAGGTTTCATCGTTCCTTCGCAGATGCGTCGTTAGAAAGTTGTTGGAGGATTCATGGATATGGCAGGATATGAATATCAACCTCGCTAATGTGGAGAAAGTATTATTATATTGGTCGTGAATATTACCTAAAACAAACATGTTGTTAGTAATCAATCCTTATATATATGTCGTTCGTTACATATATGTGAAGCAAAATCGTAAATTATTTCGGGTATTGCCAAAATTCTAAGGCTATGTAATCAAAAGTAAAAAGTTATTACTGTAAAAGAATACTTGAGTTATTAAAGTATCTTATTGTACATCATTATTCATTGCTTTTTTCTTTTTTATGAAGGCAGTATCGAATTTATTCATGAAAAATTGACAAAATTGAAACTAATAATAATAATAATGCATGTCACACCATTTTCCCTCCCCCTGGGACATTATTTCCACCACCTTCAGATCCCTATCCCCTGGGAGGACTCGCGGGTTATATACCGGAGCATGAGGATAGAGACCCGGTATTCAGCTTGAGTTGAGCAAGGGATAAGAACGTCCATTATCAATCTGCCATCTGAGACCTTTCATTACTAGTTGTCTACCATACAAGATACTATGTCACCCCCAAGACGGACGTGAGCGTGAGGTAGCATCTAAGAAGGTTCAATTAGGAAAGTACTTTCCCTTATAAACTTGAGCTAGAAGCGACTAGGGATCATTGAGGATGCGCCAGCCAATTTTAGGCAAAAGGGTCTGGTTAAAATGCTCAAAGCGACGAAACCCAATGCCCCCATCATGTTTACTTTGACACATATTACGCCAAGACTTCCATCGAATCTGGGAGTGGTCGTCCTCCACGCCCCACCAAAACCTGCAACATGTTTATCCAGAGAGGGGAAGTTTGAAACAGGACATGACATGAAGTGTCAAAGCAAAGGCTACTGACTTAATCGGTGTCTCCTTTGCCACGAGAGATAGAGTCTGTTTCTTCCATCCTTGAAGTTGACTTAGCAATATTTCGTCCAAGAAATCGAAAGTAGCTATTTTGGACTGGGCTATTAGTGTGGGTAATCCAAGATTTTTATCCTGGACCCCCACAGCTCCCACCCCAAGGATTTGAACGAGGAAGTCTCGGTCTGGAAGGGATATATTCTTACTAAAGCACACATTTCACATCACATCCATAAAAACATAAAATCAGATTTCTTTATTTCATTCTGTAAACCCACTAAGTTTTGTATTTCATACTACAATCATACTATACTTTCACCATTTTTCTTGCAACATGCATGCATAGCGCATAATACTACGACCACTCACAAAACCGTATAAGGCGCATTGAGTTACAAAAATACATATACGTACTTCTTGTCACATTAACTTATGATGTTTTCCTTTGAGATATTATATCTACACATAAAGAGGGCCAGTAGTACTGCTCTCTGGTGTCTTGCATGAAACCCTGACCTTCAAACCATATCTCATGAACATCATCATAGAAAGCCGTGGGACGACCGGATGATCATCGACCACGTCGATCTTATACCTGTGCAGAAGACAACTGGCTATGCTTTTCATTTGTGTGTACGCTATTTTCTTCCCGGAGCAAGACCTTGGCCCTGTTATGAATGTCGCAAACTTTTAGGATGGCACATGAATTGTACTGATGAGCTTCTTCTTACCAACACCATCATCATTCTTCAACCCTTCAGATCTGTCTGCAACCCACCTCTCGGGTTTGAACTCCATCCAGTCCTCACCCCATACTTCTTTCATCCTTCCTATGGAGTAAATGGACACAAAGATCCTAGTGTTCTTACCCACGAAGTGGTCGCTGGGAAGCATGTCGGGTTCCAAGGGTTGCTTCAGTTCAAATGGCACTGGCGGGTAAAGCCTTAGAGTCTCGCTTATAGCCCCGTGCAGGTACACCATTTTGTTCAAGTCTTCTACGCTCGAAACGATTCCTTGTTTCTCACCTGAAAATTCACCACATAATAAGAGAATAATTATATTCTCATCAAGAGTCAAAGTTTCATCTAGCAATAGCAATGGGCAGGTCCGGGGCGGGTATCTCGATACCCATACCCGTCCCGTGGCAGGCCGGGCCGGGTCGGGTAATTTATCATGGGGCGCGGGTCGGGGCAGGTCGACCCATTGGGTATATAATTTATGCGGAAAAACATTAGAATTATTCGTTATTCTAATTAAAAGATCAAGAAAGATATCATAATTTGATAAAATGTAGTTAAATTATTGGAGAAATTGAGTTTTTTTTCACTTATTTACAACTTTATTATACATAAAATATGATGTAATAAGAGGAAAATCCTAAGTCATTTGACTAAGATTACATGTAATTTAGGCAAGAACGGGTCAAGAATGAGGCGGGTCAGGGCAGGTCGGGTCGATGAGAGGTACCCATTCCCGCCCCGCCCCGCCTACAGGGCGTGGTCGAACCTGCCCAAAATAAATCAAACAGATCAGGTAAATCGGGTCAGGTTGAAATTGTCATCCCTAATTTCAATCATCATAATAAGTCTCTTATAACAAAAATGTATTGAAAATAAATATTACCCATTTGTGTGATGACGACTCGATCAAGTTCTTCCAGTATCCTCTCCTCCACCCCCGGGTTCTTCGCCACGAGCCAAAAGAACCAACTCAGAGCAACAGCAATGGTGTCTCTCCCCGCCACCATCAAACCAACCACCGTCTCCCTCACAAACTTCTCTCCCTTACTGCCAAGACAATCACCACCACTCCCCAACAATCGCTCCGTCTCCACTATAACTTTCATCAACAAGTCATAATCATCATCGTCACGACTCTCCTTCCCATCCGCAGCCTGTTTCTCCGCCACCTTCGCTCTGATCTTCTCATCCAGAAACCCATTAAGGCATCCCTCCGCTTCGATCGTCCTGCCTTCCCACCCGACCCGAAGCCGTCGCATCGCCTTCCAAACCCACCGCGGCACGCAGTGGCGGTAGAAAACGGCCTCCTCGATCACGTCAAACGCCTCGGCGCACGGGACACGTGGAAAGCTCGCGGAGAGGCACCCCGGGTCGATCCCCAGGAGGAGCAAGCAGTTGAGGTCGAACAGAACGACGTCATCATTTATCACCTTTTTACCACCATCTACAATCCTATACCAAGGTGGTATATTTGGTTTAAAATGTTATTATCAAAATCCGTAGATCATTATAAATTCCTTCCTTCAGTGCAAAATATTTCAAAATTTGAGCTAGAATGAAGGTGGTACGAAGATGGTAAAGAGTATTACAAAATTTGTTTCTCGAAATATATCAAAAATAGATATTGTTTTGTAGATACCAATTAGCTCGTTTCATTGTGAGATTTTTTTTTAATTTTGGGTTAAAATAAAGAAAAGGCAAATCGATTAAAAAAATAAGGAAGATAAAAAGAGGTCAAAGCTATAATTTATGAAGCTATTAAATGTGTGAAAGCTATATATCCATCACTCTAGCTAGTTAGATCCCAGCCAACGTACAACGAAGTTAAATTAACATTCATGGGTCCAGTCGTAAATAGCTCCACCTTCTAAAGTCAAGATCGGTTTGGCCAATGCATTTTTAACATATCATTCATTAACAGTGGCGGAAATACATGTGTACTCTTTTTAAAATATAAATATAAAAATAATGAATTAATTTTAATAATAAAATAATTTATTTATAGATAATTAAGTAACAACCGGCTAATACAATTATTGTTTTCATTAACAAACACGACCCGTTTTCATATTCTGAAATAAACGCAAAATACATTTGTTGTCTACACTTTTAAGTAAATTTTCAATGTATCCAACTAAACATTCGCAAGCAAATTGGTTGCCAATTCGACTTCGAATTGTTCTTAATATAGTTCAAAGCTGAAAATCTCTTTCTACACTAGCATTTGCAACATGTAGAACTAAAACTAGGTTCAGAAGCAAATAAATCGATGACGAAAGGAAGTGTTAAGGAGGCGAGGGCCAGCTAGACTTAGCCATCGACGAGGAAAGGAGGGGGTTGAGGTGGAATCACTGTTGGCTGTTTCCAGTCCTGGTTGTTCTTCGCAAAATCTTTTTTTTTTCTTCAAAAGATCACTCGTATTATCAAGGAAAACAGTCAGATACAAAAGAGTTCAAATGGCCCAAAACAGCCAAGCAACCAAATCGAACCCAACTAAAGAAGGGAACAATGAAAGGGCCTTTCGTGCCAACAAATGGGCAACCCTATTACAACGACGACAAATATAACGAACCGATAACTTCTGGAATGATTGACGAGCACCATGATCTCCTCAAGAATCTCCCCAGCTTGTCTATGACCACCTTAGCATCACCCGCAAAAAAGAACTGACGTTAATCCCTGAGCCACACACCTTGAAGCAATTGAAGGTAAAGGTCCCTTTCTTAGACACGGTGATGAAGATTCCTAAATGTACCAAATTCTTGAAAGAAATATTGTCGGGAAAGAGAGGAAGATGGATGAAGTAGCTATGGTATCCGTTATTGAAGTTGCTTCGGCATCCATCGGATGTGATGGATTCCCTCCAAAATTGAGAGATCCTGGAATCTTCACTATCCCATGTACCTTCGGAATCAAAACTTTTTGGAATCCGTTAGAGGATTTGGGGTCTAGTATCAAAATTATGCCTACAAGAATATACAATGAATTAGATCTTGGACAACTCATACGTACTAAAATGCATATTGAGTTTGCCAATAGGTCTATTGTCGAGCCAAGATATGATGAGTCATAGAGAATATCTTGGTAAAGTGTGCTCATTTTGTCTATCTTGTTGACTTCGTGGTTCTCGACACGGAAGGATGTGATGCATCGATAGTCCTAGGCCGACCATTCTTAGACACGACAAGGACTATCATTGATGTCAGTGGGAGCAAGATCACCTTAAGGTTTGGAGAGGAGGAGATAAGCTATAAGATGACTCCAATCCCCAATTTGCACAAATACTTCAAATGGGAAGATGCCAAGATGGACAATGAGTCGGTCACACCCCCTACCACACCGCCTTCAAGCCCCGAGATAGAATGGTTCAATATGGTCTCTCATGTTGACCCCGTGATAGTAGAGTTGAAGGTGTGAGTGATTCTTGCAAGATTATAAAGAGACCAGGTAAGGAAATATTTTCTCATAAAAGTGACATTCAAGAGTTGTTCAAAGTTTCTCATCAAGCCAATGATCATAGAAGGAAACTTAAGAGGTTCATCTTTGAAGAGAGATACCCCAAGGAAATGATCCACACCCATCCAAGCATTGCATGTGGGTGGGTTGGGTTGGTGATTGCGGATGATGGGTAGTTGGGTGAATTCAGTGGGTTTACAACATATATTCCATATGATCACACAATCAATAGTTTTAAATTTAAAATGAAAGAAATTTCAAACTAATAACCCTTAATCCACAAATCAAACGAATCAATTATTTTATAAATATTGGTATTGGTAATTGTTTGAACCTAACTGAGTGTAGGAGTGAGGTTCGAATGAGAGTTTGGGTCAAGAAGAAACGCGAGCGTCAAGTTCGATCGGGGAGAGAGGAATTAGAGAGTTGAGCGAGGACCGGAGTCCAAACTTTTAGAAAGAGAAGTAATTGTTATAGAGAGAGAATGGTGAAAAAATGCGATCCCCTCACCCACCGTAGTAAATGCCGTATTTATAGGCTTCGTTGTGGTGGGTGAGTGGTGACCCAAGTGGGGATACAAGATGTGACAATTGGGATACAATGATGTGACCACTGGCACATACTAAGGATTTTAGACCCTGTCTCGCCATCCCCCTACCTTAGGGACGTGTCAGAGATTTGCCACTGGCCTTGATGTGACCACTTCCTGGGGAGGAAAGCTACGCCTCCCTCCTCTCTTGGCTTTTCCTGCGCTACGCTCTTCCTCAGCGCCTGTTAAACTCACATCGCGCACAAACTCTTCGCGCCAGGACGTAGATGACTACGATGAGGTGTCGCGCTCGGGGTCTTCGCGCTGCTATGTCGGAGTCCATCCAGTTGCGTCGTTCCTTGACGCGGCCTAGGCCGAGTCACATGCCCAACAATTGCCCCCCATCAGGGGGTGTTTTGCGAACACCTCCTGTTTGGATTTTTTCCTGAATGACTCGGGCCTGTGTGGTCCCGTGATGCTGGTTTTTTTTGGGTCTATTCCGCTCGTCGCGATCGGTTGGCTCCCGCGCATGCTCGCGTTTAGGTTCTTCGACGCGTGATATTATGAAACAGGGACGCGTTTGCTGGCGCGCGCCCGCGGTGGACTCCTCACCGCGCTTAAAATAGGGCTTGGCTCGTCGCGCGCGATGTGTGGGGCGATTATGGGTACTCCGCGCGCTCGCGCGTTCCGCTCGCGCGTCGCGTGATACCCGGTACTGCGCGAAGCATGTTTTTCTTTCCTCGCGGGTATATCTTGCCCCCCAGGCGGTGCGCGGCACTTGTGGCGTCGCCGACTAGTGCCTATGTTGGTAGGTATCCACGTGTCATTGTGTGGTTAGGTTGTTAGGCGGGGATTTTTGAATTTCGAAAAAGATTTGGTAGGATCTGACGGTTACGGATCCCTATGTTGCTTAACCCTTCGCCTTCCGCTGGCCGACATTGGCCCCTTGCCTTCCCATTGGCCCTTTGTTTTCCCTCCGACCCAACTATAAGAATGGGTTGTTGTGAGAAGTAAGGATTCATCTGTTTCCATCTGATACTGTTTCCCTCTGCTTTCACTGAGATTTGCTTCCTCTGAGATTTTTTCTCTCCTTCTGCAACTCGATCCTTCTCCGCTGTTGCCAAGTTTCGAGTCGACATCATGTCCGGCGTCAACAACAACAACGAGGCCGAGGTCGTGCAAGGCGAAGAAGGTAATTTCTCCCTCTCTCGCACACTTCTTCTGACCGTTCCGGTGACGGGGACGGTGGTTCTGGGGGTTGGGATGACGGGTCTGACGGCGGACGTGACGGTGGCGACGGTGGGATTCCGGCGACGCCGTCATACGATGCCAGGTCCGGCGACGGTGTCGGAAGCTCCTCCGACGTGGGTGATATTCCCTCCGGCAGTGGGGAAGCCATGCAGCAGGCTCGGGGAGTGATGATCATCCGGCGTAATCCGGGTGGTCGACCGGTAGGGGCCGATGAAGTCATCGACGATGAGGTCACCGACGATGAAGTCGTCGATGATGAGGCCGCGGATGAGATGGCGCAAGGAGATATTGATGCGCAATTCGCGCCGCGCGCCATTGAGCGCGTTTCCGAAGCATTTGCCCGTCTGGGGGCGCAAGGCGTCGGCGCGACCTACCGTGTGATCGAGTGGGCCGAGATGTGGGGCGATCAGCCGGCGCCCTCGGACAACCTTAAGCGCGGACCCGAGCACTCCTCAACATACGACGTGGACGACGTGGAGGAGTTGGTCCGCGGGCTGGGCTTGCCCCCCCATTGGGAGTACGCTGCCCCGTCGGTGCGCAGCATGGTGGGCAACTGCCCCCCTGGTTGGTTCGGCGTGTACACGGAATACTGGGTGATGGGGTTCAAGTTCCCATCGATCCGCTGTTGTGCGCGATCTATGAGCGCCTCAAGTGTTCCGTCGGGCGGCTCTCTCCTTCAGTCATCATGCACGCGAGCTGCCTCCGTCTCGCGTGCAAAAGGCTCAACATCGAGCCTACGTATGGCTTGTTCAGGAAGATGTACAAAATCAAGGAGCCCACCAGGGTGAGCGACTGTCTTTCCATCCAGCGGCGCGACCACCGCCCCGAGGGTTTTGTGTATGGCTCGCCCAAGCTGAAGAAAACCTGGTTCGAGGAATTCTTCTATGTTAAGCCTACCCCCGGGCAATGGGCCAGCGGGACCATGGCGGAGCCCACCTCCTGGGAGAAGGGCAGTACGCATGGGTTCGAGTCGGACGTCGGGTTCTACGTCGGGCTGAACGACGAATATGAGGCTTGCATGCCTCATCGCATCAATTTATACGCCAAGGGAGTCCGCGAGGCCTGCTTGGAGGAGCTGTTTGGGGATGGTTAGTTATATTTTCCTTCCTTTGTATTCTATCTTATTAACCGCTCTCTTACGACTTATTGGCGCAGGTGTTGATTTCTCCA